ACGCATGACATTGTGTGTTCCGTGCGTACCACACATACAGAAATAAGTATTGTTGTGGCAAGAAAATGAACAATAATTCTATAAATAATTCAATTAAATTGAGGCCATTTGGTTTTGGTTTGAAGTATTAATAAAATAACATTCTTTTATCTTTCTCAGTGCATCATTTTCACAATGTAAAACGGGAATTTTGTGCTTTATTTCTCACACGTTGTTTGTTTGTTGTTTAATGCCGCAATCCATTCAAGCTATTTGACGGCGGTCTGAACAATAATCGAGTCTGGTCAGCGATTGACATCATGAGCATCAATCCACGCCATTGGGATACGATGACATGTATCAACCAAGTCAGCGAGCCTAACCACTCTATCCCGTTAGTCGCCTCTTACGACATGCATAACTGCCTTTTATGGCAAGCACGGGTTGCTGAAGACCTATTCTACTCCGGATCTTCACGTCACATTGATCGATGTGTTGACTGAGTGGAATACACTGACAAGAGGAGTCCTTCTCGCTCTTAGGTACCCCCCGTCTGTCCAATGTATTCGGCTTTGCAACCAGCACATTGTTTGATATAAATGAAGTCTTTTGAAACACAATTCATATTTGATCATTTTTCCCTCTTTGAATGTAAAAGAACAACATTGTAAAACATGAGGGCAAGTTCCACAATTAGGTCTGTTACACTTTTGTACTGTTTTACATCCTTGTTTTCCTTTTGAGAAAGAAACCCTAGTGATAATCTGTTTAAAATTACGACTCTGTCTTGTACTTTTAATACGTTTATTTAGTAACGTTTGTTGTTTGAGTGCTTTAGACTTATTTGAAGAAAACAATGTATCCCGAACATTTCCAAATACCGTGTTATGGGGATTAAAGATTGAAACAAAAAAGAAAACCGTCTCGTTAGGTATGTATGGTTTTAGAAGGTCACAACGGTTTTGTGATTTAGTCTTGTTTATTACGTCTTCTAATATCTTCCTCGGGTAATTTCTTTCTAAAAGTAGACAGACAGATTTTTTATTACAGTATCTCCTCATTTACATATTAAAATGAATGACAGTCAAATATACATCACAGAGCCACCCCTGTGTAGTTTATGAGAGACTATAAAAAATACAATGTCGAATTGCATAAAACTATTTAGTAAAAGGCGCATAAAACATTAAATAAACCCACACACATTCTAAAACAGGCAACAACAATTTACACACCATGATATAAAATAGATTTGCGTTGTTGTAATAAAAGTTTGCAGGTTTTGGCATCTAAGAACAATAAATATGGGTTGGACAGTACAAAAGACACTTTTTCAACATCAGAATAATCATTGAAAATATCACAGATTTGAGAGCATCTTCTTTATAATGGCGCTCTAATTTGATTTTAAAGGGGGCAGTGTAACAAGAAATGACAGTCATGCTCAACACACTCTTTACAATTAAAACACATCCTTTCTTCCACTGGCAAGGTTTCGTATCTTTCTAGACCAGGGGAGGAAACTCTGTACGAACCACTCAGCTCCATAGGTGAATTGAAAATGTTGATAGATCCTCAGTTTATTTCTACCCTTGCCACGTTGACTTCACTTTTCCAATACTGCACGTAGATTTGCATCAGTTTGACAGCTACTTCGGACACAATAAACATTAAAACAATGGAATGAAGTATTCTAATGATAGGTTATACCATGTATGTTCAACTGGGTGTCAGGGATCAGATGCGATTCTGCTATACCATCAATGTCAAGTTCTAAAAAGTAAATAAACAATTCACAAACAATGAAGTTGTCTGAAAAAACCCCAACATGACACCTATTCCTTGCTGTGACCTGGCCCATGAACTTTGCCCCGATGAACGGTCTGAAAGTTTTCTAATGTCTAATTAGAGCGCCGCCATTATCAGCTTCATAACGAAAGTTGAATCGTATTTTTATTATCTGTTTGGAGCCGTTTGTTCATGTTTGAGGGTTTACAGTAAAGTGCAAATATTTGAGGTGGTTAATAACTTTGGCTAACACTTTGTTATGGGAGTGAAGATGCTTTCGTTTCTAACTAAGGAGTATCTTCATTACTGGCAGTGGTGTGTAAGCAGTGGTGTGGAAGTTACTATATTCAGCTGCTTTTGGAGTCAAGCGTAATCTGGAATCAGCTGGACCAATCCAGCATGGTATAGAACATATAAGGGGGCAAGGGCGTGTCTCTCTCTCATCTTAAGACCAGCTGTTTGAAGATCAGTTTTCAACCTTGCTATCCAGCCTGGGCTTATTTTTTAAGCTTAACCCCTCTTGCTGCGACGCGAATATTATTATCACTTACTTTTTTGTATTTTAATTTCGTATCGCCACTCTATTATGGACTGACATTGTAATTGCTTTGCAGTAATTTGTATTGATTTTTAAACCTGGTTTATTTTGTAATACAGTTGTTTATTGCGATGCATTTCTTTATTATTTGTTGGTTGCACACTGAATTCATTTACGAAAAGATTTCTGGGTCAGGTTAATGTTTCAATTTCGAAGTCGACACGTGGCACATTTATTTCGAAGCACTATTTGATATGTCACTTATACTTAGCGCTTTGATCAAACATCGATATTGTTATGCTTACATACAATGGTTAGTGTAGTTGATAGGGAATACAAATGTCATAATCATGAAAGCAGAGTCCATTGTACGATTCCGACAGTATGGTAACCATTAGTGTATGAATCACTGTCAAATAGTGGTGAAAAATCCTAACAATTTCAACCCATCTGGATGTTGTAATTACCGTGAGTCATATTGTAATAAAACATTGTGTAGAAACACGCTAGAGCTCGTTGTGATTATATATCTTTAATTATATGTTTAGGTTATTATTTACCAAGATGATACACATCATTAAAGATATACGTCGATCAACATGTAGATAAAACAACAATCAACTGACATTCTATTATGATAATTTCGAAACAGAAAGAGAAGAGACATGTATTTACAAGTGAGTGTATGTGGCTTTGAGTTTAATCAAGTGCTGATGCAATACCTGCCCTTTATAATTCTTTTGGAGTTGTTGATTGAACGAAACAAAACATTTCAGAATCATGTCAGACAAGAGATCCAACTTCCTCGCTCTTGCCTCAATCATTTCTTATATTTCAAATTATGATGGGAAGGCGTGTTTTGATTAGCGAGGAGGCTCTTCTTTGCAGAATTTTACTGTGCACTTTTGCATACGTAATTTTATGTTTTGTCTGATCCTCTTGTGAAGCATGTCAAGGCTCATAATGAAAACAAGGTATCCTATGGTTTTGTTAAAGGAGCCAAAGAGGTGAGGTGAAATGGGGTTTAACGTCGCGTCCAAAATAATTGCACTTATATAGCGACGTGCATGCACGTGTGTGTGTGTGTGTGTGGCTGCTTGTACTAGTCCGGACTGATGCCGAATTATAGTGCTAGCTCACTGAGATACCATGCCACAGTTTAACATGAATACCCCACTCAGACACAGTATACTGCCTCCGAGCCGACCAGTCCTTGTTTTAGCCCCTTAATGCCGAGCGCCAGACAGGGTAACAACAAGTACCACCTTTTAACGTCTTTTGGTATGACGCGGCCGGGGATCGAACCCCGGACCTTCCGCTCTCCGGGCGGAAAGGAGCCAAAGATGAAGAACATAATGTCAATGTTGGTTTTGTTGATTGTTTTGTAGTGCTGAATGTCAACTAAGCAAGAAGGTCAGCAACCCTGCATAGTCCTTCGCTTGGATGAAGTCGGCTGGTCTGAAAAGTGACACAAAAGTCTTTCTGTTTTCTGCTCGGGACCAGCCACTTCCCACTTGAAATAGTCAATCTGTGATTTTGCATCAATGTGTAAATATGAAATGTAGATTATGCGATGAATTTAATGAGACTGTCCAACATATTGTCAGTGGATGCCCAGCTTTGGCACAAACACTGAATCCAAAGCGACAAGATGGAGTGGTTGGATCAGTTTATTACCGTCTTTGCCATGTTTGTGGAAGTCTATCCCTATGACCCAGAATATGTAGAGGGCGTCATGGAAAATGACAAATACTAAATTCATTGGAATAGGTCCGTATACAGTCTCAGACCTTTCCAGGCCAACAAACCTGATCTTGTCCTTTTTAATAGAGCCAATGAAATCATTTTTATTATTGAATGTTCTGTCCCTTTTGACACAAATTTGATTGAAAAGAAACATGGCAAATATGCGGACCTCGCCTTCGAAATGTCCCGCTTGCATCCCAAGTACCACGTTGTCCGACTCCCCAGTGTTGGGTGGGGAGTCTTCACGCTCTCCGAAAAGTTCTGGGTGGGTTCGACTAGGCAGCGCTTCCCGGGAGAAATCCCATTCGCTGTCTGGGGTGCGTGAGGCGGTGACAAGAGGGCCCTGAGCAGATAATGAGCCAACCAGCCTGACTGTGCCAGGATCACCCAAACCCCACTTTGCTGTATTTAAAAAAAAATCTGTACATAATGCTACTACTACTACTAATAATGCACTGTCTTAAAATATCTGTGCGTTACGTGTATGATTTCAGAAACAAATGATAATGAATCCTTGTAAAGCTTTGAATACTAATGTCCAAAATTGATTAAACTCGGCAACCATATGTGTCAAGCATTACGATTTTGTGAATTATTTTGTGATATTATATATTATTAAAGTTGTAATAACTACAGATAAAATTGTTCAGATATCACAAACATACGATTCAGAGAGGGATGTGACAAAATGATCCGCCTTAATTAAAAAAATACCTTCAAATATTCAAACAATTATATTCACCTGGAAAAAACATCGACTTAACCAGTTGACAATTATAATTTAAGATTCAAAGTCAAGCCACAGAGTATTAATATAGTATTCAAGTGCTTAAATCAGCAGATATCATATCTAATTCTGGCTTATCGCAATAGGTCCTATACGAACAAGCATAAATACAGTGCAGGCAACAGCATGCATTTTCAGCAGGATATTTGCATAGGAAATTAGGCACGGTGTTGTGTGAAGCTGTTGCCACGCCTTTCCAACTCAGTATATAAACGCTAGGTTCACCAACAACACGCCATTGACGCAGAATTATCCAGTCTTAGTCTGCAGCACTTTGATCATGAACAAGTTGATCCTCCTGTCGTTTCTGCTTGCAAGTGAGTAGAACTTTGCGTCAGTACTTTGCAATACATAAATGTAAACTTTGTTAACAATGCTCGTAATAATGCTTCTTTTAGTGAATTACATATCGAGTCTTGCCATCGGGTGCGATGCTGTGCAATGCCGTTGTGCACTACACGAAGGTACAGCTAAATATTCTCTCTGTCTCATAAAAGGGATACGAAGCACAAGAGTAAACCTTATATCAAATTCATTCAAAGGAACCGAGCGCGTATTTGAGTTCAGAAAAATATGTTGTATATGTGCATGTGTTTGTTTGTTGTTTAACGCCGCACTCAGCAATACTCCAGTTATCTATATGACGGTGGTCTGTATATAATTGAGTCTGGACCAGACAATCCAGTTATTGACAACATGAGCATCGATCTATGCAATTGGGATACGATGACATGCTTCAACTAAGTCAGCGAGCCTGATCACCCGATCCCGTTATTTGCATCTAACGACAAGCATGGGTTGCCGAAGATCAATTCTAACTTGGAATCTTCACGGGACCGTGCACATGTTAGCTTTAAGAACTGATTATAATAGAGCATGTTCGATAGCTTTAACTACCACGCATGACTTTCGCATGGGGTGTGCGAACAGTACCATAAATAGAACGAACATATATACAGCTTAGGAAGAAAATTGTGGATGTCAACTTCTTTATTATGAGGAACACAACGTTTCGAAGTATATGCTTACGAAACGCATTGCATTGTTAACTTTAGAATGGCTTAAAGGGTCGTACAATTAGGCAAACCGCACTGCATTGTTAACTTTAGAATGGCTTAAAGGGTCGTACAATTAGGCAAAACGCACTGCATTGTTAACTTTAGAATGGCTTAAAGGGTCGTACAATTAGGCAAAACGCACTGCATTGTTAACTTTAGAATGGCTTAAAGGGTCGTACAATAAGTCAAACCGCACTGCATTGTTAACTTTAGAATGGCTTAAAGGGTCGTACAGTAAGGCAAACCGCACTGCATTGTTAACTTTAGAATGGCTTAAAGGGTCGTACAGTAAGGCAAACCGCACTGCATTGTTAACTTTAGAATGGCTTAAAGGGTCGTACAGTAAGGCAAAACGCGTGAGTGACACCTTCCCCACATGTGCTTGTGTTTTGGGATTATGACAGTTGCGTGTTGAACAAATATTATTATATTTGTATGCATGATTGTAAGAAAACGATACGTATACATGTAAATTTATCTTGTATGTCTTGAAGCGCTGGCTGAAAAATATATTTTGCCTCAAACAAAAATTCTAGATCCAACAAGACCGTGAATGCAAATTGTATCATACAAATTGAGCCTTATGATTATACCAACTAATAATTAGTCGTCTTATATGATCCCTGTCCTTATATTAGTCGTTGGTACTTCCTACCCCCAATGAATACGTCAAATAAGCTGTAAAACGTGTTTAAAACTTGTTCCATAGTTCAAACACGTCTTGATTCCTAAACATGTTACCTTGTATCTTAAACTTGTTTAGAAAACTTTAGAATCCAAACGTTTGAGATAATAAACATGTTCAAAATCTGAACGTATTAAGAACCACATTTATATCAAAACTGATTATAATAAACAACTCTGAGGCTTCCAAGTTAACGCACATCCGTTTAAATATGTCCACAATACATGACTCTTGTTTGCTGCTGTATTGAAATGATACAATATTCAGATAATCTAGTATTTAATTTTTGTATGTGTTTTTATTGGACCATATTACTACAATAAGAATATGTGAATGAGTGAGTTGGTTTGACGCCGCTTTTAACAGTATTCCAGTTGTATCATGGCGTGTCAGCTTAATGTGGGAGGAAAGCCCGAAGTGATGCAGGTCTCAGACGTTTATCACTTCGGTGAAACCCACGAGCACAGGTGTGGTGCTGACAAACCTAGAAACATAATCGAAACGAACCGGGATTCGAACCCACAATCATAGGTTTCTGACGTGCCCAAGGGGCGCAACTCTGCACAGCTAATCGCGGCGCCTCAGATGACTGGGCCACCCGTGTCCCCATAAGAAAATGTGATACAAGAATTAAATAGTATCACACAACGATTGACATTTCTCTTCCGAGTAAAGCTTGTGCTTCCTTTGTTATAGTTTAGTGAAAACGCGCTAAGAATGTGTTAATGTGGTGACTTAAACATAATCCTAAACATGTTTATATAGTATATGCCTGATTGGAGGATGACAGGAATCAGATTACACGTAATATGATATCTAATGCAATTATTTACAAGTGACAGATGCTCTCCATATATGTACATGCATAACGTACTGGTTATGCAAGAGTACTGGTATCAGGAACATGTACAATGTCTTTTTTCTGCATATTGTCAACATACCTAATCATATGTGTGCTTACCGGCATGTTCGTCTTGTACCTCATGGCTGTTTCAAGGTCCTTGTATTCAAGAACAATCTCTCGGAGAATCAGCAGTCAGCAAAAACCAAAACAAAACCCACCTGAGTGTTTGATAGACCGTCAAAGAACATTCCAAAACTAAAGGACGTTTTATGTCATAAAGCCATTTCCATGTTGAAAGAGGATAGCAAATGTTAAACTATGAAATATGTCGCACCTTTATTGTTTCATATCTGACAGTTGTGTAAAATATTTTAGCAAAACTAAACCTGCTCTAAACATACAGCACAAAGAAATGAAAGATCGTCCTAAATGCTGACATTATCACATCATGATCATCGATCCACGTAATTGGGATTGACCCATGCATCAACCAAGTCAGCGAGCCTGACCACCCGATCACGTTAGTCGCCTCTTACGACAAGCATAGTCGCCTTTTACGGCCAGCATGGTTGCTGAAGACCTATTCTACCCGGATATTCACGGGTCATATACGACAATGAAGCTATATGGCCCACCATGACTTATAGGGAAATGTCCGAGCTACTCTCTGCTATTCTTCGGTTGTTTTTGCTGCCTCTTTGTGATGCACGTTTAATATTATCATTCATGCTTGATGTTTAACGCGTGTAACACACGTTTTGAACGCTAGCGGTACACTGAGTCCTTTTGAGCAAGGGTCGTATGACGGTCTTTAAGATCACTGTATGCATTGCACCTGCTGGAAAACTGCTTGACACAAAGGGAAAGTTGATAATTGGAAAGTTGAAATCATCCCTCTTGTCATACAGTTATGCTGACTACAGCATACGGTCTTAAATGTCTCTTATTTCTTTCTGTGATGAATATTAGGTACTCTGAGAAAAACATAACTTGTAATATGTGTTTATATGTTGCAAAATTAAACATGGCTATTCCATAGCAGTATGGTTCGCAATTATCTCAGGAAAACCAGCGTCCCTTCAGTAAAGAAGGACGTGTCTTTATCGGGCAGATTGTTCTATTTATTGTGTCCTTATCGGGGAGATTGTTTTATTTATTGTGTCTTTATCGGGAGATTGTTCTATTTATTGTGTCTTTATCGGCCAGATTATTCTATTTGTTGTGTCGTTATCGGGGAGATTGTTCTATTTATTGTGTCTTTATCGGCCAGATTATTCTATTTGTTGTGTCGTTATCGGGGAGATTGTTCGATTTGTTGTGTCTTTATCGGGGAGATTGTTCTATCTATTGTGTCTTTATCGGCCAGATTATTCTATTTGTTGTGTCGTTATCGGGGAGATTGTTCTATTTATTGTGTCTTTATCGGGCAGATTGTTCTATTTATTGTGTCTTTATCGGCCAGATTATTCTATTTGTTGTGTCGTTATCGGGGAGATTGTTCTATTTATTGTGTCTTTATCGGCCAGATTATTCTATTTGTTGTGTCGTTATCGGGGAGATTGTTCTATTTATTGTGTCTTTATCGGGCAGATTGTTCTATTTATTGTGTCTTTATCGGGCAGATTGTTCTATGTATTGTGTCTTTATCGGGAGATTGTTCTATTATTGTGTCTTTATCGGGGAGATTGTTCGATTTGTTGTGTCTTTATCGGGGAGATTGTTCTATCTATTGTGTCTTTATCGGCCAGATTATTCTATTTGTTGTGTCGTTATCGGGGAGATTGTTCTATTTATTGTGTCTTTATCGGGCAGATTGTTCTATTTATTGTGTCTTTATCGGGCAGATTGTTCTATGTATTGTGTCTTTATCGGGAGATTGTTCTATTATTGTGTCTTTATCGGGGAGATTGTTCGATTTGTTGTGTCTTTATCGGGGAGATTGTTCTATCTATTGTGTCTTTATCGGGGAGATTGTTCTATTTAGTGTGTCTTTATCGGGGATATTGTTCTATTTATTGTAGAATTGTTCTGTTACATGCCAAAATCCGTGCCTACTTTTCTAAGCATTGTAACATGTGTTAAATGTTTTCTCTGTAAACTGATTAACATGTTTGCATGATGTTATAATTGAGCTGAAGCTAGATTTCAACTATTATGACAAGGCAACACAATACTTTATTATACTGTCTGAACTTGTGTACTGAACATATGTGTGTATGTATAGAACTTTACTATAACGTGTGTCTGAACACATGCAAGTGTATTTGTATGTCTGATTTGGGCAGGGGAAGGAAGGGGAGATCTGTTCAAGATGTTAATGTATTTTGTGTGATCTCGAGAAGTGTGATCTACATAAACTCTTTCACTCTCCCACGGACTTTTGTTTGAGTGAGTGAGTGAGTTCGGTTTTACGCCGCTTTTAGCAATATTCCAGCAATATCACGGCGGGGGACACCAGAAATGGGCTTCACACATTGTACCCATGTCGGGAATCGAACCCGGGTCTTCGGCGTGACAGGCGAACGCTTTAACCACTAGGCTACCCGATCGCCTCCGACTTTGTTTTGAAGTGATTAAACTGGTGACGAATGTGAACGTATCAACTTGCATTATGTATTTGTGTTTTGTTCAGGCAGACCCGACTCGCTACGAGGTCCATAAGGTTTTGTGTGAGCATGAAAGCATTAATGTATCAGCAAATATGAAAACAGAGCAACGTAAAAACTATATTTTACATGGGGAAAGATATATGATTATCTTGTTTTAGTACACATGCATATGATATATTCGGAATCGAACAACGGATTTCTTATGATAAATGGAAATGGTTTTGCAGCTCTTACGGTATTTACTGTAGTTCCTTTAAAATTTGATATGTACTTGAACAGTCAAACACCGTTGTGTCACAGCTGAAGGGGCCTTCGTTAATACTTCGAGGTATCCGAGGTTCGACTCAACATAAAATGATAAATGACCAAGCCTATAATTCGAGAAAACCGTAAGTTCGACACAACGGTGTTTGACTGTATATGTTTAGATACTTCGCGTACGTCATTAAGTAAGTGCAGTTCCTGTGTCAGCACCAGAGGGAACAGCTCAAGCTATTGCCATATATAATCATGTCGACAACAGATTGATAAATGTGTTAGTTGAAACACGAAGAACAAAGCCTTATTTTAGGACAATATATTTTCTTCTTTAGGCTATGAAATATTCCCGTGGTAGAACTTAAAGCATTTCACATTATAAACAGGTGAATTTGTAATGTTAAGAGGGGGCACAGATACCCCTATAGTCTGTGCATCATTGTTACTCTTATGCGTGCCAGAAACATTAGCTCGTGGGTGTTTGGTTTGTCACGATAAGCCCCCGTGGTCATGGCTTTCACCAAAGTATGTGTGGGTGATTTAGCGTTGAACAAGATTGACGTTATATCACTGCATGTAAACAAGGTTTGAGGAGAAACATATTGATGCACGTTGGAGATTTTAACCATGATACTGAACCACCACGTATCATAACTGGCGCATGGGATTCGAACCCATGGACATCGACTGAGATATGTAATAATACACAACGAAGATCACCAGACCACCCGAAACCCCGTTTCTGGAAAAGAAGCGATACATGTAGATGCTGGATGTTCTATGTATTGTTTGCTTCTTGCTTAATCCCATATCAGTAGTATTCCTATTGTTTATATGACGAAGTAAGATGTTCTTGTGATGGTAAACATAATGCAAGTTAACCCAAACACAAATTATTTCCCTGCACCATTTATATTATGTCATAGTACATCATATTTTTTGTTTTGTTTCGGCAGTATGCATTGCAATTACATATGCAAGCGAACACCAACGTCGAAGACATCACCGCCGTGAAAGCAGTAGCGTTGTCCACCATCGGCACGGCCACCGTAACCATCGCAGTGACCATGGACGTCGTCGCTACAGTCGCAGCGAACACCGGCGGCTTAGTTCAGGTGGTCACCGTCATCGCCGCGAAGGTTATAGCTCGAAAAGAAGGTCTCGGGAAATCTACCATCGTTACCGTTCTGGATCCAAAGGAATTTCGGATGATACTTCCACCAGCAGCTCTGAAGACATTCATCATCATTACTACGAGAAGATCGATGACGTCCCCAAGAGCCCCATCATCAAGACCACTGAAAGCAGCGACAGCAGCTTCAGCAGCAGCGAAGAGACCATTATCCACCACCATCACCACTCCTCGCCGAAATCTTACTCCGAGTCTTCATCTGGTTCTGGCTGTTCTGGATGCGGCGGATGTGGCGGATCGTCAGAATCATCTGATTCGTCATCAGAGGATTTCCCCGTCCCCATTCCTATCCCCCTTCTCCAAGGCGGCGGCAGCAGCGGCAGTCACACCAACTACCTTCCTATCGTCCTGACTACAGCTGGCTAGGCACGAACATGGCCTACATGCATTTTAGACTACATACGTCTTCCGTTATATACGCATTTAGTCCGCAATTGTGTGACATTGGCATAACATTTTGAAATAAAATGAATCCTACCTGGCGACCATTATGTTTTATTTGATGCCCTCATTTCAATAAACATCAGTAAATGTACTCACCTATTGTCTGAAACACGATTGTACGAGAAACGTTAGAAGTTGTTGAGATTGCATAAATTTACATCCTTGAAGTTACCTTCAATTATACATGTACAGTAAACTACGGTTATAACGAACTCAAAGGGAATACTAATTTTAGTTCGTTATAACCGTAGTTCATTATAAGCATATATACAGCATAACTACGGCAAAAAGTCTGGAAAAAATTAAGTTCGTTTTATCTGTCAGTTCGTTTTAAGCGTGCTCGTTATAACCGTAGTTTACTGTATACCTTTAATATCCCGAGAAGCGCAGAGGGCACAGATTTCACGTCACGCATTTCCATTGCAGAGTTACAATCTTCAGTTCCTCGGAGCCACCTTGAGCATGAGCTGTATATTTGACAGATGCTTGTAACTGCATGTCTGTGTCCCTGGTAGACGTTTTGTAACATAAGTTAATGTGGACTACCGTTCGATTGCGGCATATAATCGAGACTGATTATTCCCTGGCCTTGGCGTTTTATATTCGGCAATAGCTGTGACGCTGTGATTATACTTATTTTGATATACAGTAAACTACGGCTATAACGAACTCAAGGGTACTACTAATTTTAGTTCGTTACAACCGTAATTCGTTATAAGCATATATACAGCATAACTACAGCATATAGTCGGGACATAAAAGTTAGTTCGTTATATCCGTTAGTTCGTTATAAGCGTGTTCGTTATAACCGTAGTTTACTGTACATACCCAATCAATATCTTGACATGGTGCCACTGCATGCTTCTGTCACCCCTTCCCCTTCACACGTGCACATGAGCAAAATATTATCAAAGACGGCATGACCTCACAGTGCCCTGTTAGTATATTTTGAGGAGTTTTAGCCCTTGGTCTGAATCATGAAAACAATTATATGAATTAATTTGATGCTGTTAAATTGAGTATTAATTATGTTAAACAGACCATCACGTTGTGACTGCTATAAAACTATGTTGGTAATTGTGGATCAGTTATTGTATTTTGGATTGCAAAATTATGTTTATAATTATTTGTTTATTGATTGCTATTAAATTGAGTATTAATGATTTTAGAGAGAGACCATCTAATTGGACTGCTATAAACAGTTTTAGTGATTGTTTATGTCGTATTGTGACCAACAAAATTATTTTTCCCAATTATAATTTATAATTATTTGTTTATTGTTTGCTATTAAATTGAGTATTAATGATTTAAGAGAGACCATCAAATTTGATTGCTATAAACTATTTTAGTGATTGTTTATGTCGTATTGTATTGTGACCAACAAAATTATTTTTCTTGTTCTTAATTATGTGTTTGTATGCTGCCACCAGCACATTTCGTACTAACTTTAATTTTATAGTTTACAACATAACTTTTCTTTCCTTGTACTCATGTGATATTCAGTGTCTTTTGTTTTACGTAGACCTTGTTTTATATATTAATCTGTTCATTTGAATGAAGACGTATGTAATAAATATTCTAAAACTTAAAATATTTTTTCTTTTAACTTTGAGGGATTGAATGTTGATATACGCTTCAGATACCAATGTACACGGTGGCTTGGAAAATGTCTGATCTTGGGCCAGGGAATCCAGTGACTGCCACCATGATCACTGCCCCCGCCATTGGTGCAAGGGAACAAACAATCTGCCAGCTTATACATTGTGACCACCTGATTCTCATTTGTTGGCTCCGAAAGACGTTATAAGGGGGTACTTGTTGTTACCCTGTCTGGCGCTCGGCATTAATGGGCTAAAACAAGGACTGGTCCGTTCGGAGTTAGTATGCTGTGTCTGAGTGGGGTATTCATGTTATATACTACGACATGGTATCTCAGTGAGCTCTGTAAAATCGTCGTCAGTCCGGACTAGTACAAGCAGCCCCCCCCCCCCCCCCCCCCCCACACACACACACACTCACGCACGCACACGCACACGCACACGCACACGCACACATATACACGTCGCTGTATAAGTGCAATAATCTTGGACGCGACGTTAAACCCCATTTCACCTCACTTCACCTCACCTCACCTCAATTGTCGGCTCTTAAGAGTGAGTGAAGTGATTGAGTGAGTTGGGTTTAACGCCGCTTTTAACAGTATTCCAGTTATATCGCGGCGTGTCAGCTTAATGTGGGAGGAAAGTCCGAAGCGATGCAGGTCTCAGACGTTTACCACTTCGGTGAAACAAACGAGCACGGGTAAGGTGCTGACAAACCTAGAAACATAATCGGGTTGAACCGGGATTCGAACCCACAATCATAGGTTTCTGGCGTGCCCAAGGGGCGCAACTCTGACCACTTCCATACCGAGGGGGTTAAAGTGTTCGCTCATTACGCCGAAGGCCCGGGTTCGACTCCCGACATGGGCACAATGTGTGAAGCCCAACTGCGGTGTCCCCTGTCGTGATATTGATGGAATATTGCTAAAGGCGGCGTAAAACCTCACTCACTCACTCACTTCCATACCGGGCTGTCGTGATGATCAGTTCTACATATGGTGATCAATTCCGCCATGTGTCTTCATGGAGTTTGGTTTTAATATTTATAATATAATTACCATAGTAATATAATATTGATTTCTGACAAGATCAGTTCGATTTAGAATATATCTTTTAATCTGATGATACGGAGGATGTCGTTTGTCATTATCTTTATTAATGTCTGGAATATTGTTGAGGGCGTCATTCAGTACTGTAGCAATATAAAATAGCAAAACGAGGTTTGAGTGATATCTATTTTAATGCAATGGGGATACAATGTAACGCAAGAGAGGTCATGAATTCATTGCTTGAACTTTATGCTGACTCGTTTTGAACCACCAAAGTTGATAGCCTCTGCAAAGGAAGAATATAATTAATACTATGTAAATACGGCATAGTTTTATTCAATAAGAAGGTGTTTAATAAGTCGTTTATCCTGAAATGTGAATAGAGCTTTCTGTTAGATTAGGGTCATGTATTGTTACATGTACGATCTTTTCTATAATACTTTTACAGACAATGTGTCACAATAATGTAGGAAGTTTTGTCATATTGGATTTTAATTCAGAAGTTACAATTTCAGTTCAAATATGTTATTAACATAATATTTTACCTCGTACTTCCATCTTCGGCGAGGGAGGTGCGATTTCAATCTCTCTCCATAGAGCAAGCGACTGGCTCAACAGAACTGCTTGGCCGTTTCAGAAAAGAGCGAAAGAGATTAGTATTTGGACAATAACGATGATATAGTTGTTCCAATGATGATCCTCTATATGATAGGGAGAGGAATTAAAAACAACGCACACACACACAAAAGACACACACACACACACACACACACACACACACACACACACACACACACACACACACACACACACACACACACACACTGACTGTTACTAAATTCTATGAATATTAATTAACATCCTCAGTGACATGTTCAGAAAGACAACCTGGCACATTTCACAGTAACATGAGGTAAAGATGTGAACACGACACAGCAGAAAAGTTCTTTTCGTAATATTGGTTAAAAATCTCAGCTTCAACGCAATAATGTTTAAGTGCATAAAAGGTTAACTACAGACAGCGTGCCTGGTATCCCGGTACGCCTGCCCTCGGTTGGATCAGAAGGTCATGTGATGTGGCTGAATACGTGTCATCGTACTCCATTGCCAAGGATCCTTGCTTCATGTTTACAGGACACGTTTGCTTAGTGTATTATTTACAGGCCATCGTCATATTGCTGACTGCGGCGTTAAAAACATTCAGTCACTCAATCTTTATCTAGAGACGATGAGTGAGTGAGTGTTTATGGTTTTACGTCGCTTTTGGCAATATTCCAGCAATATCACGGCGGAAATGGGCTTCAAACATTGTACCCATGTCGGGAATCGAACCCGGGTCTTCGGCGTGACGAGCGAACACTTTAACCACTAGGCTACCCGACCGCCCCCTAGAGACGATGAAAGATCATAGTGACCTATCAATAATAAAGTTAGATAAAAGCGACGAAATCTTTCCATATTCATAAAAATATCTTTGCTGAAAGAAGAGTCGATTGTGCGATTCGACTATAACCGACTAATTAAAGGTGTACGTAGACTGTCCCATTCAGGCACCTGCCACGAACACATGCAGAGGCACATCGACTTTTCACCCGAAAATACATATAGTACAAGTCAAAATAGGGAATTGCATCGCAGGTCATTTTTGTCACTGCTGCGTCACATTTGGACATGTCCTCCACATGTCTACCATATAACTTTATGAAAGCTTTACTCAGGCATTGAACGTAGTAACCTTACCGCATCAATAAAACTAAGTACAGTGCACAGTCCAGATTATTGCACTTATGTAACCTTGATCCAACACCGAGTTGTATGACGTTCTTTGAGCTTGCTTGATTGTACCCCAAACGTTGTGAAATGAAGACACAAAATGCTTGCGCTGAAGAAACGTGGACTAATGAAAAGTTGAAGTCGTCCCACTTGTCATGACGTCTTCTCGAGAGTAAGTATTACACGTATCATATTGTAGAATAGGCTCCCCTGACACGACCTATTCATTGCACAGCAACTACACAACTAAACATTGCATTTAGTTACAAAATATAATAAATATAAACGAACATACCAAAAATGAAAAGTGAGAAAAATATCCACTGCATGTTTCTTTATGTCGAGTCGAGGACAGCATAAAAAACTTTAATGAGATTAAAGTCAAGTAGATCTATATATAAGGACGTCCTCGTCCCCAACACAGCTGAACAACGTGAGAAGAATGTCATCCGACAGTCTTTTTCCTTCTGAATGTTGATAATCTGTCCGGGTCCCACTGGGTTCACTGATTGGTTGCTGGGAAAGTCGTTGGAACATTCACAAAGCCACAGGCGACTTGTCATAGAATGCGGTACTGCAAATCAATGTGTTTATTTGACACTGTATATCAAACACAAAAGAGAACTTGAGAGTACCAGCCGTGTTTGTTTCTGTATAATAAATAATGAACACACAATGCCATTTAGAAAGTGGTCGGATGTAACAAATGTGATATTTGGGACAACACTCTCTTGGTAAAGTACCGATTTTTGTACGTTAAGGGGTTGAGACCCGTACGGGATTCGAACCCACACTGTCAGATTTAGGCACCTAGTCCCCAGCACACGAAGTCAGCGATCTAACCCAGTCAGCCACCGAGGCTTCACAAAAATAAAAACTGTTAGTCTAGATCAAGTACTTTGTGTACCCCTCTGACAAGTGTCAACCCCCAAAAAGTGCGAGCATCTGTTATCACAAATATAACATGTGTCACATAAATATAATAGATATATTAAATAAATGTCTATATTAGGAATCGAAATTTTATTGTGCGACGCCTTATCGATATATAAACCCTGATTCTGATCTTCCATTTATTGGACCGTGCAAAATCGAAGATCAATAACTATCTGTGAATTTAAATCAAGAAGAAGGTTGTGCTATTATTCTTTCTGTAGATGACTGAGACAACAGGGTCAGATTGATACCGGTAACAAGTTACTTAAATCAACAGCTTCTTCTCGCGACCCAATCCTGACTGAGTCTTTTCACTTATCTCCCCCAAAACTTTAATTTTTCAGTCATTTGGATACAAGCAAATTTCATAAAAAGAGCGATGTGCATGAATGCTCAAACTATAGACCTGAAGTACTCACACGTTGCTGAGCCAAGTGTGAAACGTGTATATTCAAACATGTGTTTAAACGAATTGCTGTCATTTTAGGCAAAGCAAAATTAATGAAAATGACCTCTGATATTTTGGACACATTACTAAATCACCCTTGCGGTGTAATTATTCAGTGTGTGTTTTGAAATCAATATATCCGGGGCCTTGCATTTCAAATATAGCATATTACATGCAGCATATTAGTGATCAGCGTACAGCGTATGCATGACATGTTGAGCAGCAGATTATCATTGACGGCAGGTAAAAGATAACAACCGAAGTAGCATTCAGTTAATTGGATAAAGCCAAATGTACGTCAGTAAGAATAAGGAAAAGCACACAGGTAATAAGGCAAACGGTGAGGTGAAATGTGATTATTGCACTTACATAGCGACGTGCATGCACGTGTGTGTGTTGCTGCTTGTACTAGTCCGGACATGCCGATTTATAGTGCTAGCACACAGGGATACCATGCCGCAGTTTAACAGACACATTATATTGACTCCGAGCCGACCAGTCCTTGTTTTGGCCCCTTAATGCCGAGCGCCAGACAGGGTAACAACACGTACCATCTTTTAACGTCTTTTGGTATGACGCGGTCGGGGATCGAACCCCGGACCTTCCGCTCTCCGGGCGGACGCTCTACCATTAGACCACGGAGGCGGTCTTGAAGCAAAAGGATAAAGAGGGCAGATATACAGTCAGGATAGGATTAAAAGGATTAAAGAGTTGTGACAAGCTGATTGGATCCTAATTGAAATAGTCTATTGCTTGATTAGATTTTCACAGGCAGACGGATGTAATATCAATTATCTCTGTTGATCAAAGATTTGTGACGTCGGATTTCTACAGCTTGTGAGAGTTTTCTGTTGGTGAAGTCCTGATGTTTGATTGAGAGGATGTGGACTTTGTCAGACTGAATTTGATGGCTTGGGACTTTTTGCTGGTGGTCTGAGGGGGTTGATTTGCTGTGTGCTTTGGCTGTTGAAGGCTTATATATGTTCTTTGATGTAGGTATCTACTGGGTGGGAGGTTTCACCAATGTACGATTAATTGTGACTGTGGTCACTCGGTACCTAAAACCTTTATATACCAATATGTCCTCAGGGTAAATAATATATTCACTGCATTGCTGTAAATTGTTGTAAATTGTAAACAATCTACCCTGCTGTTATGTAACTTAAATATACTTGTGTATAATCTTCATATGCCACTGGGGCGGTGGGGTAGCCAAGTGGTTAAAGCGTTGGCTCGTCACGCCGAAGACCCGGGTTCGATTCCCGACATGGGATTAAAGTGTGAAGCCCATTTTCCGGCGTCCCCCGCTGCGATATTGCTGGAATATTGCTAAAAAGGGCGTAAAAGGATACTCACTCACTCATATGCCACTGACTGCAGCCAGAGAAGCACATAAAGTTATGTCTTATGACCTCTATAATAACCCCTGCTGACGCTATCATAATGTTTCTATTTCAATCTGCCACACCAAGCGAATAACTGTGTCCGGTCTGCCGCGAGGTTTGATTCGGTGTCAGTGACGAATGATTTTGTGACTTTTGTGTAAAAATTCGTTAACAGACTGATGTATACCGTATATCATTATATCATCTAACTGGAAGATCCACTGGCTGCATCGAGGCAAAACGGTCCTGTTTGTGGTTATATGTACGAGGCATATGTAAAGCCAGCTTTGAAATGAATAACACTTCGGTTCGGGAAGTTCATTCTCATAAACATCTCGGACTGACTCTCCAAGAAGATCAATATTTTCTGTGGAACGATCACATTGATAGCCTAGTTAAGAAAGTCAGTCCAATGGGGTTCGCTGTCTCAGGAGTTTTAAGTGTCGTTTAAATGGAAAAAACACACTGAAAATTATGTAAACATCTGTCATTTTACCGCTATTTGATTACTGTTGCCACATATGGGACAACAACTGCACACAAGAATACAAGTTACTACTTGACAAAAAACTGAATCTAAATGCACTCAGAACTGTTTGTGGCGCTGTTCGTGGCATAAGTCACGGCAAATTACTACAGCAATGACTAAAATACAACAATTACTAAAATAATAAGCAAAGATAATTTAAATACACTATAATCATAAAACCTGACAAATCTTGAAATAAAGTCGTCTCATATTTTTAGAAATGATATTTTTAAAATACTGCACCGTGTTTTGCAAATGAATTACACTAGGTACATGACTGACGAATAAACTGGAATCAGTCAGAGCATTTAAAAATTTTCAAACCTCATTCATGAGGAATTGCTTTTAATTGGAATTGTTTTTTCTTTGTTTACAAACTACATCTTCATTGTGGCTTTTTCGTGCTCAGTGGGCTATTCAGCCGTATCATTAAAAAAATTAAAAGCAATTCCTCATTAATGAGGTGTAGTATTGAAAAAATAGAATTTCTAAAAATATGAGACGACTTAATTTCAAGATTTGACATGTTTTAAGATAATAGTGTATTTAAATTATCTTCTGATTATAATTTTAGTACTTGTATTCTGCAGTTCACAATAAATCAGCGACAGGGTGTGACGTGCATAATATAATAATTAAACAACTTTATTTAATTTTGCAATTTTATTTATTAACCCATATAAATGACTTGTTACAAAACAAATATGGCAACGCGAGTAAACTGACTGCAACCACTCCTTAATTACAGCTTATGATTTGACTGGTTTCTGAAAAAGAAAATGATTGAAAGCATAAGTGAAATTGATAATTGTACATGTGCAAGTGGGTACTTCTTATTCCAGTCAGTGTTGATTGTCGTTAAAAGCACAGCTGGAAGCACTTCTTCAGAAAGGAATCAATATTTGGGTCACATACAAGTAGACTGGGACAACACGCATGAAATGATTGTGTCCTCCACGTGTATTCCGTGCAAACCATGTATTTAGTTACTCATTACATTGCATTTTCTATATTAAAGTTTATTCCCCCTAAATTGTGTTTCGTTTGTGATGCCATGCGCCGTGATATATACTACTCAAAAGAAGTTAAGGATCACCTGATTCTTTCATATTGCTATAGTTAATCTCTCATGTCATGACATATTTACTTAACCATTATGAAAGAATCGGGTGATCCTTAACTTCTTTTGAGTAGTATAATATATTTTCGACATAAATATATAAACATGTCTTTTCACAACATATTATCATTAACTCTCCGAGGCCTCCCGAACTACCCTTATTGGAGGTAAAATATCATTCTGAATACTTCATATCTCTGGCAGAATGTCCTCATGAGTAATAAACATATCACATATAAATAATTCAGGTTTCATTAACGTACAATCAGGTACTCTCCTCGTTGCTTAGCAACCCGATGATGGTTGGTGATATGCCTGTGGGGGTTCATCATAGCGGACTTCATACGTCTGTGGCCTTGACCCGTCACCATACTCATTCCAAGATGCCAGACACACGGCCACCAGGACGGCTGTAATCAGACGATGTATTGTGAACACCTTACATACGCTGTGGTTATTTGTTCACTAACAAACTAAACTATTCATCGTAGAATATATTGCGTTTATCATATGCGATATATTTACCATATTCGAGATATGATTGCCTTATGTTGTCGCTCCCCTGGCACATGCACTATAAAACAATATAAACTTTTATGAAATCTTTAAAAAATAATAATCTTTGGATAACACAGTGACATACACTCTTCAAAAAAAGAAACGAAATTAAATCTTTTGATAACCGAGTGGCATACACTCTTCAAGAAAAGAAACGAAACATTCAAAGGTGATGTGTCAAATAAATACTACGGTAAATGCAGATTGTCAATGTCACGAATCGAGTCGATACTACGATAGGAGTGAGTGAGTGAGTGAGGTTTTACGCCGCTTTTAGCAATATTCCAGCAATATCACGGCGGGGGACATCAGAAATGGGCTTCACACATTGTACCCATGTCGGGAATCGAACCCGGGTCTTCGGCGTGACGAGCTAACGCTTTAACCACTAGGCTACCCGACCGCCCCTACTACTACGATAGGAAATTCGTGAACGATCATGTAGTTAAACTCCCTGACTTTTCTAAATGCATGCTAAAACGCAGAGTTCAAGATTAAAGGGTCTAAATGATCAGAAACAACAAGATTCTGAGTGTTTTCGAGCTGGGGTTTCCCTAGCAATGTGGAATTAATCCGTCAGTGTTTACGTCATTTCAAGAATACAGTTTCGTATGAACGTCAAATATTGTCGTTCATACCCTTATACACATCATTTTCCATCTCATGTGACCACCTTCTCGTCCAATCGAAAATATAATATATCATGTAACTTCACATTAAAAAAATTTAAACGTTGACGCATCACAAAATGTAAAACAGAATAGGTTTATCTCTTTATTACGTGCTTCTGAATTTAAGTGAGTGAGAAGTGTTTTACGCCGCTTTTAGCAATATTCCAGCAAAATCACGGCGGGGAACACCAGAAATGGGCTTCATACATTGTACCCATGTCGGGATTCGAAGCCGGGTCTTTGGCGTGAGGGGGGCACGGGTGGCCCAGTCGTCTAAGGCGCCGCGATTCGCTGTGCAGAGTTGCGTCCCTTGGGCACGCCAGAAACCTATGATTGTGGGTTAGAATCCCGGTTCGCCCCGATTATGTTTCTAGGTTTGTCAGCACCATACCTGTGCTCGTGGGTTTCACCGAAGTGGTAAACGTCTGAGACCTGCATCACTTCGGGCTTTCCTCCCACATTAAGCTGACACGCCGTGATATAACTGGAATACTGTTAAAAGCGGCGTTAAACCCAACTCACTCACTCACTCTTTGGCGTGAAGAGCGAACGCATTAATCACTAGGCTACCCCCATCCCACCCACACCCCTGTATTTAAGATTTCAATGAACACTTTAATCACAAGTAGCATATGTCTACGAATATAATGTTTTAACTTACCAATGAGCAAAACTTGTAGATAAAGCTTGTTCATATTGGACGAGATGGATGACTATTTGATGTAGAAGACGAATGGAAAGATTTATATAACGACCGACTGGGAAAGTTATGCCAGGCACGGGGAAGTAGTGTCTGGTTATACACATCATTGCTTCCTTTGTCAGCTGTGAATGTCGTGTTTGTCGGTGGGCTACCTTATCAGAACTACGGTGTCATCAGGTCAAACTTCCGCGGAAGATGCCTTTCCTCAATTGTTTTCATACCATATGTGTGTTGTGAATGTAAAATTTAATGATTTCTGTTGCGCAAGTATGACTGTGTGGAGCGAGTTAAGCAGAACAGAGAAGGGTACCATTACGTACAAACCAAAATATCACAATAAATATATGTATGCATTGCTAGTAATTTGTTGCCAAGCACTTAAACGTGTAAAGAAACGAAAAAGGTAAGCACAGTCAGTATGCTTTAACTTGTCCTGGAGTGAATGAGTGAGTGTGATTTTACGCCGCTTTTAGCAATATTCCAGCAATATCACGGCGGGGGACAGCAGAAATGGACTTCGCACATTGAACCCCTTTGGTGAATCGAATCAGCACTGTCATCATGCCTTCTGATTTATACTCTTCAAATTATTAATTTTTCCGTTTTGTATACATGACTCGGTCTAAAACACTTTATGTATATTGTTTTACCCCTAATTTGTAAAATCGGGATTTACCCTGAAATGCTTTCTTAATTAATATTGGTGGGCGAAAAATAATATACACGTCATATGACTGAACGTCATTTATCAAGACTTAATGATATTAAAATGACAAAATTGAATTGAACACCGTGCAACATCAAAGCATATAGACGATTTTAAAATGATTTCAATCGTTTTTTCGGAAAAAAAAGATTATTTCTAGATCTGCTTAACGTGCATAAATACGGTAATGAAATTGATGGGCGGTACTCCTTTGGTCTCGTTTTGTTTGCCGGGAACACCAAATCTCGTGTCAGTGAACCGTATCTGATCCCCTACTAGTCCCGGGGAACGCCAAGAGTTGTTTTCCTCCTAAATATCAATTTTGGTGCTACCGCGCCGACACCATTGACAGTTTTCTTCAAACTGGATATCTGATTAGAAATTAATTGGTTTATTAGTATGCCCAAACTCTTCAATATCACATGTAGCTGCGAGCAGCGATCGATGGAGTGCTCTAAGTGACACAGCATATCGCTTTCTGATTCGGAAACCATGTTCATTGTCTTTGTAGAAACATACACAAAGGAACGGGGTCATAGTCCTATTAAATAGTCCGACAGTTATCTCCAGTTATCCTTGTCTCTACGGTCGACACGAGTGGTGTTTTAGCTTCGCCCCGACAGGATCTATTTGAGACACTTGTCAAACTATGGAACATTTGGATGTGCTCCACCGGATAGCTTCAGAGGAGAACATTTTGGAAGACATGTACTCTAAAAGAATTCAAAAGGAACTTGGAAAACTTTCGATCCTATATGGCTGTCAAACTACATGACCTATTGCCTAACCCTGGTTTGGATTCCTAATAAGAAGCCACCGTGACATCTGAACCAAGGTGATTAATCAAGGCCCTTGAGAGCAATCTGTCAGAAGCTTTGTTGTCCATGGTCAAAGCGATTACTGTTTTGGCATTGTCAGGGACAGAGGAATTGAATTGCTATAATGCTGATTCTCTGCACGAATTCTCCCATTACTAGAGTCTGTAAATGTTGCTACAACCAACTCCTTCAAAATCAAATATGCTTTCGACGCCAACACCTGAAGAAGGCAATCTTAGAAAAAGTCGAATCCAAAATGGCCGCCTCAATGAGACATTTTCAAAAATGAAAAATAAAAAAGGTTTTGATGTTGGAGACAGCATACAGAGATCATTTGGAGAAGGTTTTAAAGTATTCCGACTGGTATTTCAGAGGAGAAATATTTGGAAGACATGTACCCTAAAAGAGAAAACCTTTAATACAAAATGGCTGCCATACAGTTGGTCTCTTGGATTCTGTCTTGGAGCCTTTTTAATGTAATGAGAGACACATTTGAACAATGTATTTTTGTTTCTCAATACTTGTAATTAACAGTGGTTTACGTCGCTTTTCAAATAAACCAAACACAACAAGCGCACAAGGAAAACGTCGATTTAGATCGTTTCAACAGGCGAGCAATTTACATCGCACATGTGCCAGTTTACACAGCACGCACAACATTCGGAGCACAACGTACTCGCGTTTATAAAACTAGTCATACCACAAACTCGAAAAAACATCAAAACGTTCAACCAAGAATGTAAATCTATTAGAAAAAAAACATTCCATAAAAAAAGAAACAATACAACAGTTTAGTTATAGTGCCCTTTAAAATAGCAGATTTCTGAAGCTTATAAAACAATTTCAGATAAGAATTTGAACTTATACGAAAAGGAAACGTGTAGACAAATTCGTGAACATGGAAACATTCACAAACAGAATATCGGAAATTATGAAATAGAGATACACACTTTGAAAACTTTTTGAATAATATTTTCCTATTTTATAAAGAAATAAGTTAAGTAAAATATAATGATGAACTTAGTTATAATCTAGCAGAGGATAGATCGTTCGATACCGAAATTTAAAAAAAAGAAGATATCAACTGTGAGGAAATTCTCGCAGCACTTAAAAATTAGGGTAGAAATATAGCTTCTGGATTAGACTTGGTTGAAAACGAGTAGCTAATTGTTGCTGCAGAATACTTTGTCCCACTACTGATTGTATTTTGTAAATTTAATACTGCATTCTGGATTTGTACCCGAATGCTGTCTGAGAGGTATGACGAAACCGATATACAAGAAGAAAGGCGATAGACCGTAAATCGTATGAACCAATTACCATTTTGACCGGCTTTGGTAAACTATTTACCTGGCGGCCTATTCACGAAGATGTTTTACCTAGGACAAGTCTGAGCGACCTACGACAACAATTCCTTTTACTCTGTACGTTAACGACGGGAAATTTTCCAGCCAGTGTAAAGAAATATAACGTCTGTTTGCAATCCACAAATACTACTACCGTATGGCTATTGTATGGCTTCTAACTGAAGTTAAGTATGTTTACAAAACACTGAGAGGATACACTTGATTTTTTTTCTTTTATCATTCGAATGAAAAATAAAATTAATTCATGCGTTCATATTTTTTCAGACCGCATACTATCCAGTTATTCCACACTTATATATATATATATATATATATATATATATATATATATATATATATATATATATATATATATATATATATATATATATATATATATATATATATATATTATATATTATATCCAGTTAGATGCCCACTCAGAGACGCTACATTTCATACAGTATTATGATCTATTATTGTCTTCCTAGTGGTAGAGCGCCCGCCAGGAGAGCGGAAGGTCCGGAGTTCGATTCCCGGCCGCGTCATACCAAAAGACGTTAAAAGATGGTACTTGTTGTTACCCTGTCTGGCGCTCGGCATTAAGGGGCTAAAACAAGGACTGTTCAGCTCGGAGTCAGCATACTGTGTCTGAGTGGGGTATTCATGTTAAACTGCGGCATGGTATCTCAATATTATACACGTTCGGCAACCATAAAAAATTGAGACAGTTGATGGCTACACTAGACGAAAAGCAATGTTTTCATGGAGAAAGCACAGGATATCAGTTTACCCTTAATTGCATTTTATCAGTGTTTGATTCAATGGCTGTCCAAGGTATATTTAACATTTCTCAAAAATCCAAATTTTATGCTTTATGGCGAATTTGGGAGAGAACCTTTATATATCAGAATTTACAAAAGAGTTTCAACAATGTCAACAAATAATGAAAACCCAAAATGATCAAACTTACTAAATACAAATATTACTTCAAATGGTTCATTTTTTTCTGAAAAGTAACGATGGATATTATTTGTCAAAAAATACTCAACGAGAGGTCTTAATGGAGTTTTTAGTCATCCGCATCAATGTACTGCTTGGCTGGTTCCAATGCAATTATGCCCAAATCATCCTACTTTCAAATTGGAACTAATAACCATAACCCACTGATTGAAACCAATCGCTGGAGTAACACTCCACGTGACAGAGATTTATGTTACTCGCCTGCAGCTGGGGATGAGTTTCACTCTCTGTTTACATGTGAAGCTGATCCGTGAAGATCCGGGGTAGAACTGGTCTTCAGCAACCCATGCATGCCGTAAAAGGCGACTATGCTTGTCGTAAAAGGCGACTAACGGGATCGGGCGGTCAGGCTCGCTGACTTGGTTTAAGCACGTCATCGATCCCAATTGCGTGGATCGATGCTCATGATATCAATCACTGGATTGTCTGATCCAGACTCGATTATTTAGGGACAGCCGTCATATAGCTGGAATATTGCTGAATATATCATGAACATCGATCAACGCAAAGAGTGCGGCGTAAATCAACAAACCAACCAACATGTGAAGCTCTTCACCAACGGCGGATATTGTATTTTCCAGAATTAGTGTTACATTGGCCTATTCTGTATCAATTAACAGTATTATTCTCTGCGTGTAAAGCAATAAATATTAAATGTCAAAATATATTAGATACATATGTTTTGGCTTTTTTAAATTTGTGGTCACTGTCCTGTAACATATACCTATCCACTGCCTGCTGACTCGGGTATACCGTACCGCCTTTGTATTGAATTATTGCACATACTCATTTACCACCGCTTGTGTATTTTGAGCAATAAACTTGGTTTATTGACATGCATAATGTACAAACAACTCAATGGGTGTAAACTTATTTATTAAATGCACATCGATGATCCCATTATGATTTGATGTTCCACATGCTTGGTTTCTGAAAAAGAAAATCAGAAAAAGTCATAAAAAAGCATAAGTGAAATAGACGATTGTGCCAAACCTTTTTCTGCCACTACTGGCGTCAAAGATGGCATAACTATTACTTCATGTGTTATTAAAACATAAGTGAAATAGATGATTGTGCCGAACCTTTTTCTGCCACTATTGGCATCAAAGATGGCATAATTAATACTTCATGTATTATCAACGTAATATCACGATCTCTCTCAGAACGCATTTTGTATCATTATTAGAATCAAAGATAGCATAATAATGTCTTTAGGTGTAGTTAACGTACATGTACAATCAGGTACTATCCTCGTTGCTTAGCAACCCGATGATGGTTGGTGATATGCCTGTGGGGGTTCATCATAGCGGACTTCATACGTCTGTGGCCTTGACCCGTCACCATACTCATTCCAAGATGCCAGACACACGGCCACCAGGACGGCTGTAATCAGACGATGTATTCATCATAGAATATATTGCACGCATGATATACGATATATTTGCCCTATTCGAGATATGAAAGCTTTTTAAAAAAATGTATGTCTTCATGCTTTGCACATTACATCTTCTATGGTATCGGGCGGTCGGGCAGCCTGGTGGTTAAAGCGTTCGCTCGTCACGCCGAAGACCCGGGTTCGATTCCCGACATGGGTACAATGTGTGAAGCCCATTTCTGGTGTCCCCCGCCGTTATAGTGCTGGAATATTGCTAAAAGCGGCGTAAAACAATACTTACTCACGCTTCTATGGTATCAAGCTATCATTTAGTTAGTGAGTTCATCTAGCGTTACAGGACAGCCCAACGTGATGCATGTCCTTGACGCTTGACCCTCACGAGCACGGGTATGGTCCTGACATACCAAGGGTCATAATCAGGGCGAAGCAGGGATTCAAATGTTAAGCAGATCTTAGGTGTTTATGGTTACCAGGGCCGCGATTCACAAGGCGATTGTCGCGCTACGGCTTTTCTAAGTCTATGCTTAAGGGGAAGAGTGACTACAGTCGTAGAGTGAGTGAGTGAGTAAGGTTTAACGCCACTTTAAACAGTATTCCAGTTATATCACGTCGTGTCAGCTTAATGTGGGAGGAAAGTCCAAAGTGATGCAGGTCTTAGACGTTTACCACTTCGGTGAAACCCACGAGCACGGGTATGGTGCTGACAAACCTAGAAACATAATCGGAGCGAACCGGGATTCGAACCCACAATCATAGGTTTCTGGCTCGCCCAAGGGACGCAACTCTGCACAGCGAATCGCGGCGCCTTAGACGACTGGGCCACCCGTGCCCCCTGACAGTCGAAACGGGGCATTGTATATTAGCTATTAAAAGTCAGCTGGTTAACATACGATTCCTGTAACAAACGTGTTTGTTGTCGCTCTCATGTTTTCACTACAATACGTATGATATCCCGAACAAGATTTCGTACTTAAACATTTTAACATTGAAATAATGGGATCACAGAGTGTAATATATGACTTAGCTGCACGGTAATAATCAGCGTCGTTTTGTTATAGCTATAAATGCTAGCGTGACATAATTTTATGTGCGAAAAGAACGGAGGCTATGATGCCTATCGATCCGAGTGACCGACTTTCATTTCATGAAACAAGCGATAACAAACATGCACCAAGACATGATGGGATATGCCTCATACACGAAACAGAACTTGGTTAATAGTGAACACTCCCAAATAAGCACATGTCAATATCTCGTTATTAGGCATAGTTTTATAGAAAATAGAATTTTGAGCATCAAGAAAATAATAGCTGAAGACTAATTTCATCCCCTTGATTTTAAGATTTCAGAAAACACTTCAGTGTATGTAGAAAAAAGATATTACAACTTACCCAGGAGCAAAACTTGTAGGAGTAGCTTGTACATATTGGACGAGGTTGATGAATACTTGATGCAGAAGACGATTGAAAAGGTTTTTATAATGACCGACTGGTATAACAATGTCGGGAATAGGGAAGTAGTTGCTTCCTTGCGAGCTGTGAATTGTTTTGCGGTTTGGTTTTAGTGGTCATAACAACTGTGCCAACCGTTCAAATTTCCGTTGAAGATTCCTTTCCTCAATTGTTTTCATACCACAAGTATCTTATAAATGTCTGTTCGATTTCTGATGTGAATGGGGCGGTCGGGTAGCCTAGTGGTTAAAGCGTTCGCTCGTCACGCCGAAGACCCGGGTTCGATTCCCGACATGGGTACAATGTGTGAAGCCCATTTCTGGTGTCCCCCGCCGTGATATTGCTGGAATATTGCTAATAATTCTGATGTGAATGTTTGTCTGACTGTGTGGAGCATGTTTAGCAAAATTGTGTTATGTGTCATCACGTACAGGGACAAAATATCACGATAAATAGATGTGTGCAATATTTTGTAGTCAAGCGCGTGTTGTAAGCAAAAGAAGAGGCAGATTATGTAATTGTATTTTTTCTTGGAAACTTCAGCACTGTCATCAAGTCTTCTTAATAATATTCATTTTCTTCAAAATATTAAGTACCATTTTAGATAATACATATAACACATGAATCGATCTAAAACCCTTTATGTATTATTGTTTTTCCACCAAATTTGTAAAATGGTATTAACCTAATATCCTATCTAAATAAAGTATTGATGGGAGACAAATAATATACACGTTACATGACTCTTGTCATTCCTCACTAAAACCTAATGTTATAGTGGCAGAAAATGAATAATGTAATGTAATAACTATGAACATTCCGTGTCACACCAGAGCATTAAAAGAGCTTTTAAAGATTTCAATTATTTGGGGACGTAGGACTTACTATCTCCTACATACGACTTCCTATCTCCTACGTAGGAGATAGTAAGTCCTACGTAGGAGATATATTCTAGTCCATACTACGTCCTACGTAGGAGATAGTAAGTCCTACGTAGGAGATAGTAAGTCTTACGTAGGAGATAGTAAGTCCTACGTAGGTCATAGTAAGTCCTACGTAGGAGATACTAAGTCCTACGTTTAGATACTAAGTCGTACGTAGGAGATTGTAAGTCCTACGTAGAAGATAATAATAAGTCCTACGTGGGAGATACTTAGACAAAACAAAAAATTACCGTGGCCCTACTTCGCTTCCGTAGATTAATGATTATTTCCAGACCTGCTTAACGTTTTCCCTTGTGTATACAACAGTAGGTGGAACCAACCTTAACATGCAAGTGATGTCGCAAATATACTGAACAACAGAAGTTCCTGTGACATTGAATAAGATTTAATGCAAAGTTATGTTTATTACCAAATCTGAAACAATTTCAGTTTGCAACAGATAAAAAAACTCCTGTAAGTGTTCAAATGGTTTAATTTGCCATACTGACTTCAGAAAATCCATGCTCATGACATCAATCACTGGATTGTCTGGTCCAGACTCGATTATTTACAGACCGCCGTCATATAGCTGGAATATTGCTGGAATATATCATGAGCATCGATCTTCGCAATTGGGATCCGATGACATGCACTAGCCAAGTCAGTGAGCCTGACCACCCAATCCCATTAGTCGCCTTTTACGACAAGCATAGTCGCCTTTTAAGGCAAGCATGGGTTGCTGAAGACCTATTCTATCCAGGATCTTCACGGGTCAGTAGTTTCAGAGAAGAATTTGGAAGACATGTACTCTAAAGAGAAAACTTTAAATACAATATGGCTGCCAAACAAAGAAGGAAAAGTGACCAACATCTGATGCTGCTGATACGGTTGGAGTTATTGGATGAGCTGTTGGGGAGCAAAAGGATAAGCATTATCGTATTAATTGACTTAATTTGGTCCCGAGACCAATGAGTCCTCGTAAGACTCCATGAAGGTAATTTAAAGTGTTTTGGTTAGAATCGGACAACTGCGATTGGATCGTCAGTGACAACTGTATCTTCAGTAAATAGAATATCACACAATGGTTGCTAAGTGTCTGACAACAACACAGTATTTGTATTTCATTTATTTACTCCCACAGTCACGTGAATATCGTAGCTACCATGTCATGACCACTGACCTCTTGTTGCTGAGTTGCCGAGCTGACTATTAACTCCTACTTGACTGTTACGGTGGAGAACGGCTTCGCCGTCATCCTTACCATCCCATGGAAGGGAGTTCAATTTAGCAATATGAACAAAACTCACGTCTCAAAACGACCCATGACTCCAAAGCGGTTAATCTGACCGAGCACTTGTGTCTCAACCAATTCTCGTGCTGGTGGTTGCGTTTCTGAGATATATATCAGTGGCTGCGCGTTTTTGAGATCTGACCCCAAAATATTTGAAAACATGAGACTCCATACAGGTAATTGCTTTGGATAGAATCGGACAACTGCATTTACTGTATAGAGAATAAGATCATGCTCCTGTCAGGCTTGGTGCCTTGGTTGATTTCATGTCATCGATCCCCATATAGATTCACATATTTAGAATGTGAGTGAGTGAGTGAGTTGGGTTTAACGTATCCCAAGGGAACGCAACTTTGCACAGGGAATCGCGGCGCCTTAGACTACTGGGCCACCCGTGCAGACAGGGCGTGATGCAGACTGTTCAGTTACTTATATGGTTGTGAAGATGACCCTGCAGTAACCAACACGCCACACGTCGTCATCTTTACATTTATTTTTTTATTCATTTTTTACATTTACATGACGATACATAATATATCATAGTTTTATTACAAACTGATCAAATATTACAGAAAATATATATCAGAGTAATGTAACATCCAACGGGAAACACAGAACCTGAAATGCATGAAGCACAAGCATATTATTTTGCAAAATAACACAATGAAAACAATAAGCGTTTAATGTTCCGTCACAAAAGACGAGATGCGATGAAGGGATTCTTTTGACCCTCCAGATCTGCATATTTGCAGGAAGTAGTAATCGTTACAAAAGTTGTGTTTATACTAATAAGATTTAAACAATAGCGACAAAACCAATTCCGTAATTATTTGCACCCTTTTCCTACTTTTCCTTCTGTTATCTTGGGGATCTTCACATCGTGATTCTCAGAGAGCTTTAAAGCATACGTTGAATAATGAAACGATGTATACGTAGATCTAAATAGTTGTTCTCATACAAAGGTTTAACCAGCTGATGCTCTCGACCACTGGTGTCTCTAATACAAGAACACAACTGCAGGCTAAAGATGAACGGGAAAAATTAACCAGCTGTTGTTAGGACGATGGGAAGGAAGTTTGAGTGACTGCTGCCGCCACTGCTGCCGTGTGAAACGGGAATGGGGATAGGGATAGGGTAGTCCTCTGATGACGACTCGGAAGATTCAGAAGACCCTCCGCATCCACAAGACGACCCAGATGAAGAACCGGAAGAAGAGGAGGAAGAGGGTGGAGATCGGTGATGATGATGGATAATTATCTCCTCGCTGCTGCTGGTACTCTCGCTTTCACTCTCGCTTTCACTCTCGCTACTGCTGCTGCCACTGCTGCCCTTACTCCCGCTACTGCTGCTGTGATAGTGATGATGGTGATGATGATGACGTTTGTGGTCGTGGCGATGATGACGATGTCTCTGGTGACGATGACGGCGGTGATGATGGTGTGCAAGCACAACGGAAGTTATGACTGTAAAAAAAAATATATATTTTCTTACAAACGCACTTAATTTTACTTATTTTCGTGTTAAGAAAGACAAAGTTCTGAATATTACCAGATATACTTTCGAAGTAGTTGGCGTAGTACGAATGTTAGAAAATGAGGCAAATCTAATATTAAACAGCCAAGATCAGAATCTCAAGGAAATTTTGTATTCATTTTAGAGGAATTACCAGATCAAAACCGACGGTGTCCCGGTATAAACTCTCCCCCGTACAAATTCTCCCCCCGGAGATTTTATACCGGTACAGATTCTCCCCCGGCGAATCTGTTCTGAAATAAAATCTCCCCCGGACGGATATATTTCGCGCCCCCCTCAGTATAAAGTCTCCCCCCTGATTATTCGGTTTGTTGCAATATCTTTAAGTACTATATTCTTTAAATAGTTATCTTTAATGTAAGGAGGGTTACTTTAAAAAATAGATTATGAAATATGGTCATAATGAATTGATATTTCAGAATATTTTATTTGGTAACTGTACCTTCCATCCTAAAATAATTATAAGACATAATCATACCAAACAAAGGATGGGAGACATGAGTCTCTACAGAACTTGTTGTTTCTAATACAGTTGTTGTTGTCTGTATACATTTTTTTAATATACCAGTTTGAGTCTACATGTGAACACAATCGATGGTTGAAATGTTAGTCTAAGAACAAAACATGAACTAATTCTAAAGAACTCTGATGTATAAAGTTACCTTCATCTTTGATTGACTGATGTATTTTCAATCTTTATTCAGCACTGAAGAGGCCACAGGCCTATAGTACGAAGCATTAAGTTTATGAATAAACTGTTATAAAGTATTCATACAGTATCAGGGGTCATTTCAACTTGCAAAATGATTGACATAGTCCTTTAAAGAGCGAGGATTGGGCTGTTTTCCCACCCGATTGACTGATATTACAACATTCACATGGTTTAGAATGTTACAATGAATGGTAAAGCATGCAAATTACTCTATTACGCGATATTTCATAAGAAAATATCATATCTCCGTTAAAACATAAAACCAATATTTATGAGTCTACATATTGATATAAGACTTTATCACTGTATCCAATTCCAACATTTTAGATATAAACTTTCGGACAGTTCAGTTCAAAATTCTTCAACCTTTAATACATCACAGGGATTTGTAGCTAGACGACGGGAATCTACAGTCTTGACTGTGTGTGTGTTTTTTTATGAGAATGTTTCTCACCGACCTTATTATTTCCTGAATAAAATATTATCTAGCATACACATATTGTTTTGTGTCATGTGACACCAGATGTTGTTATCAACCAATACTCGTAACGTAAACAACCATAGAAATGTGAAACATCAATGCTAGAGAATAACC